TTTTAGCATAATCGACCACAGAGCTTGTATATTCTTGACGATATTATCAATATCATATTATTATTCAAGTACCTACACATTTGAAAGCTTCCAATATAGAAAGCTTGGCTTGCTTTAAAATTTATAGCTTCAACTAGTGAGGAGAAACTTAGCATTCTAGGGAACCAATACACTCCACATATTATGTATTACAGAGTACGACAATACAGCTATTGAACAACAAGTGAAATAATATCTGAGATGCATATGAGTAGGAGAGACCAATGACAGATCTGTAAAGGGACAACCTTGAAAAACAAAACCAAAATCAAAGCAAAGACTTCAATGTTATGCGTGAAACAGGCAGACAAGTTGATTTGATATCAAGTAGAACTACAATTAGATGTACAGTTCGACTCGGGAACTCTCCTATTCCTCTGCATGCTTAACCTAAATTCGTTATACCCATTTGAGTAAATACAGCCCAGAGTAGCCAACAACAACGACAGCAGTGAAAAAACGCGTGGAGGGTGCTGGGCTGGTGGGGCACTTGCGGATGGAGAGGAGGGCGGGTGGGGTCGGTGTCTTCCACAGGCCGTTTGGGCGGACGGCGATGCATGTGTTTCCGGTTGCACTCAGCAGCAAACGGTTTCCAGTGTAAATTGGTCAACTAAATTATGCAACATCAGTTGCACCAGTAGTCAAGCTGTCAGTTCAACCACCCCCGCCGCAGCCCTAGCCCCAGAGCCCAGATCTATAAAGTGCACAGCATCCAATGCAATAGCAACAGCAACAGTAACAGCTGAGTGAAATTTGCATTTTATAAAATTTTAAAGCAACAATCCATGTGTGTGTGTGTATGTGTGGGTGATTCCGTTTGTTAACTTATTTTTATGTCGACCAAATGGAGCACCAAAAAGTTTTAACCATAACCTGACCCATTTGTATTAAAATTTTAATATTTACAAATTTATTTTTGGTTATTTTTTGCCTTTTAAATTCACTTTGGAATCGTACTCAACCAGATAATTGGTAAACTGTTAAAGGCTTTCTATAGAAACTCTCCTATAGTATGATATACAAATAGTGTAAGAAATTATTATTATTAATTATTAGATTTTGAGCAGGTATCCGAAATATTATAAATAAATCTAAATGTAGAAATTTTTAGCCTCTCATCATCAATCCTAATCTTTTTTTTTTTTTTTTTTTTTTCAATGGAAAAACATTTATTGATAGGGTTTCATTCATTACAGAGTTTTCCATTTAAGGCCTCTAAGTGTACACCTAGTACTTTTTGCTAACATATTTTTTTTTAGAATCGGGCTCTCCTAAGAATTCTTTATCAAATTCATTCATCCATTTAGCCAATAGCTTCCACAAAAGTTTCGATTTTTGCAACGCTTGAGAAATGGTCAATCAGTCATATAGACATGGTTAGTGATTTGGTTTACTCTTTGATATTAGCAGCATACCCTGTATAATGGGGTTGTCCCTTTTCAGCCCATGTTAAGCTAAATGAAATTGTAATTTATGTATATTTAACATAAAATATTCGTATAGTATAATACGAATATATTTATAAATTAAATTTAGATTTTTTCGATATTCAACTTTATTTAAAATTCAATTGTACGTAATAAACGCCTTGAGCCAGAATCTAGCCAAATTGGAAAGCTGCAGCGTGGGCGTGGGCGTGGGCGTGGGACTTTGGTTGTTCATCTTCAGTTGCTGAATGGCTGCGAGAGGTGGGTGGCTCCGCGGCTGGGCGGTTGAGTGGTGCGCTTTTGGAATGCTTCATAAAGCCAGAAACATATGTTCGTGGTCTTTGTTTGGTGGTCAGCCGTGTGCTGGCCTCTTTAACCGCTGCATGTTTGTCACTTGCGACCACGATGCCCATTTCCGTTGGCCAGTCGCCATTTTTTATCGCTTCTGTTGATGTTGCTCTCATTGTTGCTCTCATTGTTGTTGTTGTTGTTGTTGTTCTTGTTTGCTAGTTACACAGAGTTGTAAAATGTGTGGCAATTGATTGGCCATGGCCAGCGGGCGGAATGGACATAATTTAGCGTGGCAGCGACTACCGAAAAGTGCATTTGCAGATTGCCTCTGTCTGGATGAATGGAACAAATAATGGGAAAACATAATGCAAAAACAGGAAATAAATTATTCTGCCTGCTCTCGATATGTACATCTGTATGTCTGTATATGTATGTAGGTATGTGTGTCTGTATGCATTCCAAGTGGAGTCCCCCAGCCCATCATATCTATGGGCCTGACCCCAAGCTAAAGCCAAAGCCAAAGCCAAAGCAAAAGACAGAAGCAGTCAGTGTAATAATAACAATCAGCAACATTTTCCTTTTGCTGCTGCTTGATGATGATGATGATGATGATGATGATGATAATGATGAACCAAAATCTTAATGATTACAGTGGTGAACATATACTTGATATGATCGTATGTATGATGAATTTTGAGGATAATATTGAGGCTCCAGTACTCTCTTTGAAATTCACTTTACAACTGCTATTTGGAAAAGAAAATAATAAAATAGAAAATCCTCGGTTATTCAATTCATCAAGTATACAAATTTCAATCTGACAAAATTGTTGTTTTACTGGAATTTAGTACTTGTTTTCGAATGACTCTAAATCCTTAAAACATACATATGTATGTCAACAGTTCCGAAGCAGTGTAAGTAATCTTCGTCTTGATGTTACAATAAGCTTTTATAGAGTAATTCTTGAACAAGTCTAACCTATGAAAAGCAGTGTAGCTATGTATGAATATGTATTTCTGTATGTATGTATATATATGCATGTATTTTTACCTTTATCTTCACCTAAAAACTGGTTTCTGATTTTCTTTTTTTTTTTTTTTTTCAAATATTCCTACACAAGGGCTTACTCGATTACGCCGGGATAGGAAAATTGAAATAACTGTAACATATACATATGTACATAAGTATGTATAGGTTGCATACAAATGCAAAAGTAAATTATGCATATTTATTTTAATTTTACTTAAATAATACTTTGTTATCTATGTAAGTAGAATTAAAAAAAAAAAAAAACGCAATCCAACTTGATTTTGTTGAGCAGTGTCATCATGATGATCATTGCTGAATTGTCTGGGCTAATTTTGTTTGATTTTGATCGAATTAGCGTAAAATTGAGCGTTCGGCAACTTTAGGTAGTCCACGGGTCGCGCTCAGTTGGCGAAGGTCCCGGGCAGTTCGGGAACCCGGGAATGGGACGTGCGCTGGTTTGTCAAAGGCGAAGTTCAGATTGCACTGGCCGCGTGCGTTGCATTAAGAGGCGTTGCAGCAGATGATGATTTGCATGGCCATCAACATGTTTGCTGGCTGACGTTGGCAATCCGATCTGGCGCGTAATTGGCCAAGTTATTATGCGCTTTCTGCTTGCTCCTTTGCCAAATTGATTTTGCTTCGTGCCTCATCAGCAGCGACAATTGCCCTGGCCCTGGCAAGTTCATCATGCTGCCGCTGCGCTGCCGTTGCTGCTGCACACGTAGCCTGAATGCCTCAGGTTTCGCATCGAAACTTCTTTGGACTTTGCCATTTTAATGCTGCTGCCGCTGCTGCTGCTGCTGCTGCTGCTGCTGCTGCTGCTGTTGCTGCTACTGATGTTTTTTGCGGTTTCACACTTTGGTTAAGGTTCCATGCCCTTCGCACTCAGGAGCCAATGGGCAATGGGTCAAACCAGCAGCGCTGCGTCTTGCTAGCCACACTAACGACTGCTGTTCCAGTTGTTTGGTTTAATTTATTAATTTGAAGAGCACAAACAAAAAAAAAAAGTTAGGTTGTATAAAACTATTACAAATATGTTGGTTGGGCAGTAGAACTCAACTGCTTACATAGATCATCTTAATCTGGTATCTTATCTACTTAATGTACTTGTCCATAAACTTTTTGTGGAAGTCCGAGCGCAGAGCGTCGTTAACGAAGTGAGTTTTCTTTTCTGGAGCCGAGCGTGCGCAGTTTTTGAAGACAACATCGTCGTCCCAACGACGCTTTATTTTCAGATCGCCGCCGTTGCCGGAGGTGCGTCCAGCAGCTGATGCCGCTGTGCCGGGCTCATAGTTAATTAGTGGATTGCCCGATAGAATGTTCTCCATGCGAATGCGTTCGTCCTCTTGTTTCTTTTCAGCTTCACGGCGTGCCGCCTCTTGCAAGCGTTCCTGTTTGATCTTCTGCAACTCGGCTAGCAGGGCCGCATCATCATCGTCCGAATCGCTTTCGGAATCCGAGCTGTCATTGTCCAGTGGCTCGTCTGCATCGAGATTGGCAGCATGTTGTTGCTGCTGCTGCTGATGTAGCTGCTGCTGCGACAGGCTGTCTAATTTGGTACGTTTGCTTGCGCTGCTCCCACTTGCATTGTTCGCCTCAATAGCCTTGCGCACAATGGAGGGCAGCGCCTTGTTCGAGCTGTTGCCAGAACGTAAATCGCGCTCCCGTTCCTCGAGTTCCTTGCGAAAATCACGATTGCGTATCTCCTCGCTGGTTCCTTGACCAATTTCTCTGCAAAATGTTTATTATGTTAACATATTTATGTGGCAAACGTTTAATTTTATTTTTATATCAACGTGTGTACGTATGTATGTTTATGCGTACCTGTATTTAAGTTTGGTATGCCCAGGCAAATCGCGACTCGAATACTGTTTGCTAAGTGCGCTCAAATCTTTTTCACCACGTCCAGAGCCACCTCGCGCTGGATCAAATGTTGGGCGCGCTGCTGTAGTCATTTTAAATCTCTAATTTATCCAAAAGAAAACAAACTTTATTTAAAACAATTCTAATTCAGTGACTTCTATTAATTTGTTCCTATTTTGATGCGTATCAGCTGCGTTAGTGTTGAGTTTCGATAACTAATTTCTATCGATAGGCTGAGTAACCAGACGTGATTTCCAGTTAATCGTTATATTTGCCACCAACATAAATAGACTGCTTAATTTATTAGTATTATAATAACGGTCATAAAATATGTTGTAAAATGTAAGAGTGTTCTTGGTAAAATCTACGTCTTCTGGTGAAAAGCATTACAAATAATCGAATCCAAAACTATCGATAGCTAACAAGATGGCAGTTCCCTTGATTCAGCGTTGCCAGAAACTTATGCGAAACCACGCGAAATTTCACAAAAAAAGTAAACATGCCACTGGAGCCCCAGCGGTATAAATATTATAAAACGCAATTGGGCGATTCATTGCTGAGCGCCACAGCTCTTATTCGTCATTATTACACCACATTGTGCTCTCAAACATCACAGCTAATCGTCCAAGCAGATCGCATTTGGGAACTGAGTCAACGGCACCGTTTGCTTGCTGGGTAAAGATGCCGCTTGTCTACCTTTGCGTATTAATTGACATGAAATTTCCGCAGCATAAAGGAAGCTGCTGCCGCCACCCTACTCTCAGCCTGCCATGACGCATACCAACCCATATACCACTGCATGTTAGTTCTGAACCCTTAATAATGCCAAGGAAAAGCCAAACTGTTGGAGTTCATATATTTTCAGAAAGCAACTACAGGAAGCCGTTTCTGAGGTCTCTATTCATGTGGCAGACTTCGAACGTGAATACCAAGCTCTGCAATCTGAGCTCAACCAGACGGACGAGCTGCGTTGCTGTTCACTAGCCAAATGGAACGCTTGGTTAGCACAAACATTGAGAGTATTACAAACGCAGGTCAAGTTCTTGGAGTTGGATTCACGTGCACTACTGCCTGGGCTCGTCGATACCACAACAGTCAAACAGTTTAAACGCGATCTTGAGGTGACTGCACACTACAAAGCTAGCATTTGTTTGGGCTTGGCCGAAGCCGATCGACGTTCTGAGCTTTTGCCTCCGATTAATTGATGGACGATGCTATTGCTAAACAGCACCACATAATTTATTTAAACAAAATAAACGTCTAATCTAATATCATACAATCTATCGTCTTCAACAAATCAATTTCTATGCCGATTCGCGCGGTAGTTTCCTGCTCCTTGTCGCGGCTCGATGATGGTCACAAGATCACAAAACAAAAACAAAAAAATATAAGCATTGGATTCTTTTTTTTAAGCACTGCAATACTTGAAATTTATTCAAAACATTTGTAATTTGGTGTTGTGTGATTCTGTCTGTATGTTGTTTATGGTTTTCATATCATAATTTTTTTCTCATAATAATTTCCTCCAAGAAATTGGCAAAAGCAAAACAACACCTAAAACGAGAACGAAAAATCGATCTTTCAATATTTAAGCGATTTATTGGGTATCCAGCTTTACTCACATTCCAAACAAATCCCAAGCGAGTTGCACTCTTAGCGTAGACGTCTTGCTTCGCGTTCAGATTCGAGCAGCGTCAAGATATCACCCTCACGGACTGGTCCCTTCACGTTACGGATGATTTGACGGTTCTGTTCTCCAAGGAACTCCACTTTGACTTGGGTACACTGGCCCTGGGAGCCGGTGCGGCCAAGAACTTTCATGACGCGAGCCCAAACAACTGGTTTGTCCATGTTTTCTGTGTAATTTCAGCGAGTTTCTGTAGAGAATTCACGTGCGAGTTGCGTTTCAATTGACAGACGCAAACGAAAAGGAAGTTGGCTGCTTCTCGTTTTGACAACGTGAAGGTGGCCGCGCTAAGCCACAGTGTTGCTTTGACAAGATTGGCATTGTAGAATTGTAAAATTGTGTGTATTCGCATTTTGCTCCTTATTGGGCTACTAACGCAGCTAATAAATATTTGATTTAAATAATACAATTAATATAATCTCACGATTTGCGATATAAATAAAAAAAAATACTCAATTTGGACATTTGACAGATTGTTTTTCTTAACACTGCTGCCACTAAACGCAGTATTGTCAAAGGGCAAAATAAAGAACAATTTTCAGTTGAAAACTGAGAAAGACAGTTAAACAGTAGCATTTATTTGAATTTCAAAAGGCAAGTTTAATTGATAAAAAATAAGCAAAACACATTTAAGTGGGTATTTGCACTACTTGCCAGCACTTTGTGACGAGCCGTGGCAACTCTAATCTGTCATTTGACGCGGCACCACGTAGACATTTGACAAGTGAAAGTCGGCACAATTCGTGTTACTTCGGCTGCGCGCATTGTTGCTGGTCCCCCATTCGGTTAGTTTCGCTCATACGCGTCGGCTGCTAGTTGTTCAACGGTGCGATTTCATTGCTGTCTTTATTTTTTTTTCGTACATTCGAAACTCATCAGTGATAGACACAAAATTCAATCAATATGAAGAACCTAATGTTCTTTCTGCTGCTCGTTTTGCCCACCATCATTTGCACGTTCAGTGCCCGTAAGTATTGCATTTAATTGATGTATTTGCCGACAGCAGCAGCAGAGAGGTGGCCGCGGCAGTGGCAGCTACGTGGCATTTGGCTACAGCCAATTGATAAGTTAAGAGTAGGTAAAACTCTTTGTATGCACTTTTTTTTTATGAAATTTTCATATTTCCTCCTTTATTCTAAGTATTGTGGCTACTACTGCTGCTGCTGTTCCTGTGCGCGAGAGAAAACTGTTGAGTTGGCACCGCTGAAATGACTCGGTCTTACTCTCATTCATGTTGTGCGTTCGTATATTGCAATGTTGTTGTTGTTGTTTTTGTTGCAGCAAACAAACTTGGTGCCTATGCAGCCGAGGCTGTTGAGGATGATCTAGTGGATGTGGAGAGCGAGGAGGGCGCCGTGACTGGTGAGGATGCTGAGGCGGATGATGACGCGGATAGCGGCAGCACCAGCACCTCACCCAATGCGGATACCTATCTGTTGTTCACGAAACCACTGCACACACCTGGCCAGCAGCTGGATCTGCCCGGTGGCAAGCCTGTCGAGTTCCTAATTGGTTTCACCAACAACGGCAAGGAAGAGTTCATCATTGAGTCGGTGGAGGCGTCTTTCCGCTACCCCATGGACTACAACTACTTCATCCAGAACTTCTCCGCAGTGGCGTACAACCGCGAAGTGAAGCCAGGCATCGAGTCGACCGTCTCCTACACATTCATGCCATCCGATCAGTTTGCTGGCCGTCCCTTTGGCCTGAACATTGCTCTGGCCTACCGCGACGCCAACGGCATCCAATACAACGAAGCTGTCTTCAATGAGACTGTGCTGATCTCTGAGGTCGACGAGGGCTTGGATGGCGAGACTTTCTTCCTGTACGTGTTGCTCGCTGGCATCGTGGTCCTGCTGCTGGTCATCGGCCAACAGTACCTGCTGGGCAGTTCCGGCAAGCGCAAGCGTGCCGCCGCCAAGAAGGTCATCGAGACCGGCACTGCTAACGACAGCAACATCGACTACGACTGGGTGCCCCAGGAGACACTCCGTGCGCTACGTAAGTGTCGCATCTAGATATATGCCTTATACAATATGTAGCTTATCATCTGACTATGCTCCCTCCACACAGAGAAATCTCCTCCCAAGTCAAAGACGCCGAAAACATCGCCCAAGCCAGGCAAACAGGCCAGTCCCAAGGCAAACCAACAGAGCCCCAAGCAGCGCAAGGTGAAACGCTCCGCGGGCGACGACTAAAGACTGCACAGCCTGCCAAGCTGCATCTACACACAACACACACCCACATACGCATACATTCATAGAAGAACACCCTCAACATCTGCTCGCAGTCTAATATTATGTTTAATACTTTTTTTTTGTCGGTCAATCGCAATTGACAATGTAGAGATTGTTAGTGTTTAACTCGCAAAGTACGACGAGGTGACAGCTAAGGGACCGTGCTGACCCAATTTCCAATGATTCTAAAAGTTAGTGAATTGGTTTTTTTTTATTGTAATTTACTTTATCTATTATTTCTTCGATTCGAACTGCCACTGCTCCATAACATACTCTTTATAAAAAAAGGTCCTAACTTTATGCCGCGCCGTATAATTGTCTTCGTTTGTTGAAGATCCCTGGACGCGTGCGAAAACTTTCAATTATCAATTATGCGATAAACGAAATAGGCATTATTATTTTCTTGCGTTAATTGAGAAGTCAATGTTTATTGAACTTTTGTCTGTCTGCATATGGGCAGAGCACAACAAACGTAAAGCGGAGCTTTTCCCAAAAATAAATGAAAAATGTGAGAAGTTATAAATAAATTAAATGTACTTTGAATCTGTTGTTTTATTTGTCACAAAGGAGATGAAAAGCCCTGAGCTCCTAACGGACAATGTTATATTTCTACACGTCGATCACACAAAATCAAAACACCTTTTCCTAAGCACAGTAAAGAAAAATAATTCAAAAATGAATACACAAAAATCCTCAAATATATATATGTTAATTAAACTGTTTAATTTGTGTCTGAATAGGCAAGATTAAAATAGTTTAATTAAAATATTTTTCATTTAAGAGTTTGCTAAAAATAATGTTACATTGCTGTTATGAGACTCTTTTGAAGTGAGCTCCTATAACCGGCAAAGGTAGTTATAAAAAAAACTAAAAATATTCTGTAAGTATTACAGATTATATAATAGTATTTTTAAATTAAAAAGCCATTCATTAATTTAAATTCCTTGCTTATAAATATCCTTATATTTACATTTTGTATTTTTTGGTCGGTTATGCGGAGGAGTTCCTCAAGTGTGGAGCGGAAACGGCTGTTAGTTTACATACTATTATCTGTTAAGTCAGACTATGTGGGAATTGCAAAAATTACTCGTTCGCAAACAACACTAGCAGATGATACTTTCGATAGATGCGCACAGTACTCGATACTTTCGATAGCAAAACAATAAAGATTTCGAACGATTGACGATGACGAACGTATAAAGAGCAATATTTAAACAAATTAAACTCATCATAAACGAAACGAAGTATACAAACAGTGCGTCCGTTGTATCCATAATCGATTACGTGCATTTACGCCACCGGGCGACTCAAAGTCGCGGTCGCCGCCAACATAGACCGTCACGTCGACGTTCTGCAGTCGCCGAGTTGGAGGCCATCTAATATTTGACAGAGGCGTAAAGATGACCGCCTCGGACAAGTATACTTATCAGCGGACTGTGCTCTGCCTAGCGCGCGTACTGGCTGGCATACAGCCCACCCCATGGGACAAGGTCGGTGCAGTTGGGGGTGTTGCTAGCTGTTGACAATGTCTGTTTGATGGAATGCGAAGGGCGGGTGGGGGTGGGGGCGTACTGGCCGCAAATTGGAAATCGAATTTTCGCGCAACTAAAGTTGACCTTGGGCGCAACAGACATGCGTATAGTGATGACGTGCCTCAGAGCCCATAGAGGAGATCTAAAGCACGCGGGGGAAGGGAGGGTGATGATTTATGTTTTTAAGTGTGTCATCATTGACTGACTGCAGCTGTCAATCTCTAAAATCTCGTTTGCCACCTTAGGTGCAGACCCTGTTCCGCTACTGCCCGCAAGAGAATGCATCTGGCGTCTTTTGCCTGGACTCCAGAGCACAAGATGCAGTCATCGCATTGGGCATTTACTTCCTGGAAGGCGGCTGCCAGCATGAGTCACAGATAGTGCCGTATCTGCTGCGTCTGGCCAAGAGCCTGCCCAAGGCAAGAATACACGATGAACGCCACAGTAAAGTGGAGCGTAAGTGCAACTCAATATTCCCCAAATGATATTTAATCCACTGATGACCATCATATCATGTACAGGTGTGCGCATACCCGCAGCAGAGAAGTTCAGCTTCTGCTTGAACACACTGCTATCTGACATAGCAGCCAAATGCCCGGAGCTGCGGGAGGAGATCATACTGAACCAGGTCGAAACACTGGGCACGCTCGCCAACATTGTGAAGCCCAGCAAGGATTCTAGCAACTCCACGCCGTCGCCCTTGGTGCTGTGCAATGCGACGGTTCCGCTGCTCTTTGGCTTGGCTCGCTCGATGGGCCGCTATGCCAGCAACAATCCGCCGTTGCTGTGTCGCATATTTCCGCCCGAGCAGCTGCCCACGCAGCGAGTCAGCGCCAGCAGCGCTGGCAGCAGTGGCTCATTCAGCAGCAGCGAACGCCTGGCGAGTACCCAGTTTCGGCCCATCATACCTCGGTCGATGTCGGGCAGCCTGGCCCACAATAGCGCCCCGGGCGATGAGAGTCGCATGCGTTCAGCGGTGAGCAAACAGAAGCCGTCGCTGCAGAGCTACTTCTCGGTGCCCTACGATCCTCGCACGCACTTCTTCACGCGCTACGGCTCCAGCTTCAATCAGTTCCCACACATGCGTGTCAACCTGTGCGAATCGCCTGGCAAGAGCGGCCCAAAGCCGCTGTACCGCGTGCCGCCGTTTCCCATACAGCATTTGCAGACCATCTTTGCCGTGTCCAAGAAACTGTTAACCAAAGATACGCTCGAGTATCTGGATGAGCTGGGCAGCGATATATTCTCGATGCACTTGAAGAATGGCAACTGCTATAAGAGCTTCTCTGAGATGCTGAATCTGGTGCTAGTCACACTGCTGCGCGAGCTGTTGCAGCATCAGATCGACCTGCCCACGCCCTTCACCAAGGACGTGCAGGAGTTCGTCAAGCGGCTGTTCCTTAATGGCCAAACGGAGCTGCAAAACAAGCAACAGGACCAGGAACGCGAGCGTCGCGAAGAGAACGGTATCGCC